CACACACACACACACACAGACATTCACTGACTGTCACACACACACAGACATTCACTGACTGTCACACACACACACACACACACAGACATTCACTGACTGTCACACACAGACATTCACTGACTGTCACACACACACACACGTTCACTGACTGTCACACACACACACACACACAGGCCACACCATGGCCAGGCATTCTTTTTCTATGGCGGCGTAGCTCACTTCTCGGGGTAACAATTTCCGGCTTAAATAGGCTACGGGGTGTTCTCCGCCATCTGCTCCAACTTGGCTCAGCACTGCTCCCAATCCAAACATCGAAGCGTCTGTGTGGACAAGAAATCGTTTAGTTGGATCAGGAGCAGCAAGTACCGGTGCATTAGTTAGAGCCGTCTTGAGTTGGTTAAATGCCTGTTCACACTCTGGGGCCCAGACGACCTGTCGGGGCAGATTCTTGCGGGTCAGGTCAGTCAGGGGTTTGGCCAGGGCATTGTAATTGGGCACGAACTTCCTGTAGTATCCTGCGGTGCCAGGAAAGCGAATACTTGGGTCTTGGTCCTAGGGGTGGGCCACTTATTTACGGCTTCAGTTTTCGCTGGTTCGGGTTTTTGTTGCCCGCTCCCCACCCGGTGGCCCAAGTACTGTACTTCGGCCATCCGTATATGACACTTTCTAGGCTTCAGTGTCAATCCTGCCTCTCCAATACGATCAATTACGGCCCCTATGTGTTGTAGATGTTCTGTCCAGGTCTGGCTATATATGGCGAAGCCGTCCAGATATGCGCAGGCATATTCCTGGAACCCGTCCAGTAGCCGATCTACCATCCTTTGAAAGGTCGCCTGGGCATTTTTCATCCCGAAGGACATGACCTTAAACTTGTACAGGCCAAACTGGGTGACAAACGCCGACTTGGGGATGGCATCCTAGGCTAGTGGAATCTGCCAGTATCCCTTACATAAATTTATGGTAGTGAGATACTGGCCTCGTGCCATCTTATCCAGCAGCTCGTCTATCCGGGGCATCGGATAGGCATCAGACACCGTTTTGTCGTTTAGCCTCCGGTAGTCCACACAAAACCGTGTTGTACCATCCTTCTTAGGTACCAGCACTACCGGCGATGCCCAGGGGCTATCGGAATGTTCAATAACCCCTACCTGCAACATCTCCTCAATCTCCTTCCTCATATGTTCCCTGACTGATTCAGGGATCCAATATGGGGTCTGCCGCATAGGTAGCTGTCTAGGGGTCTCGACTAGGAGTGGCTAGCGGAGAAAGTGCCCCGGTCAGGATATACCTCTTACTGGAGGGACTAGGCTTAGGTAAGGGTCCCACTATGTCAACTGCCACTCGGCTAAATGGCTCTTCAATAATGGGCAGGGGGCATAATTTCGCTTTGTGGCGGTCCCCCCTCTTCCTCACTCGCTGGCAAATGTCACAGGAGGTGCAGTAGTGCCTCACATCTTTGGAGATCCCTGGCCAGAAAAAGGCGTGGGACAGCCGGTAGCGGGTACGGGTCATTCCCAAATGCCCAGACAAGGGAATATCGTGCACAATCCTCAGCAGTTCCTGCCTGTACTTTTGGGGGACCACTAACTGTTTAGTGGTTACTGTGACTGATCTCCCTATTACTCTTTCTGTTACATGATACAGTAGCCCTTTCTCCCAGATATACCACTCCCCCTCTAATCCGGCCTGATCAGTG